ACACAGATGGGCTAATAGCATGAAGGACTCTAAAGTAAATACTGGCCAGCATGGGGCTCTTGCCTCTTAAAGTCTCTGAGTTGATCTGGAGTGTATATGGGGTTGATGCAGTTAAATGAGAGAGACCTGGATGCCTTTTACTCATCCTTCTTGTCAGCTCTTGGGAGATCCATGTTGTTGTGAGGGTGGGGTTGGATACCTGATTCAAAGTTTCTTTCATTTTTTTCGAAGGATGCATGTCTGAAAAACAAGTGTCAGAGAATTCCCCACAAAACCGAGGCTTCTTGTCATTTTTGAAAACTTTCACACTGTGGCCTAGCTTTCAGAACAGGAAGCTTGGTGGTACCTGAAGCCCATGATTGATTCATCCACCTAAGTCACACAGCCTGGGATGTAGCACTTCTGACCCAAAGTGCAGCTAGCACCGGAATTCTTTGTTGTCTCACCTCTGTTAGGACTGCCATGGCTCTTCTGTGAGAGAGTCGCAGCATAGTGTTGGCACCAGGTATCAGTAAAACTGTTTTGCAGATGACCATCCTGGCCTTAGGCATCCATGGCCATCCCACAGAGAATATAATAGTTAAGCAATTAACTCTGTGAAGATTTGTTAGGAAATTTCAGATTTTCATGCATTTCACCTTTTTGGCATTTTGTGACTTAATGGTGGCAAATTTTCATGGACTCATGAAAAGCTCTGGCTTCAGACCTCTGAGCTGGATGAGCAGTGCTGAGTACACTGCTCCAGAGGAAGCACAAACTTGACTGGAGGGGTGAAAACTACTTTTAATCACAAATAGTCCATAGTCCATAGAAACAGGCAGGCCCTGGGGGTCCTTGCTGCTGGAATCAGTAGCTGTGAGTGAGAAGTTCGGAGTTCTGGGGAGAGGAGGTGATGGCAAATGCTCTCCGTGTGTGTGTGTGTGTGTGTGTGTGTGTGTGTGTAAACTTCAAGGCCCCAGACTTTGCAAGTATGAGGCTTATGTAATGTCAGTTAGGGTGTGCTCCTGTAATGGTTTATGTCGGTTGCCAATTTGGCAGCATCCAGAATCACCTTGGAGACAGGTATGTGGGCATTTCTATGAGGGAGCTTGTAGACTGGTTAATTGAGGTAGGAAGACCAACCCTAAATGTGGGTGGCACCATTCCATGGACTGGGCTCCTGGACTGCATGGAAAGGGGTGAACCTACTTTTAATCACACATAGTTCATGGAGACAGTCAGGGCCTGGAGGTCCTTGTTGCTGGAATCAGTAGCTGTGAGTGATTTGGCAAACAGTTTCAGTCTGCCTAGTGTCTTGTGGAGTGTGTGTGTTTATGTGTGTGTGTGTGTGTGTGTGTGTGTGTGTGTGTGTGTGTGTGTGTGTGCGTCTGTGTGCATGATAACTTCTAAATAAGACTTTCTCAATGAGACAAATAAAACTCTTCTCAGTTCAGCTGTCCTCTATACATCAGAGCCTCTGTCCATTGTATCAGGTGTCCACTGCTGGGCTCAGGAAGAGTAGGAGGAGCCAAGGAGCAGGAAAGGGAGGCTGTGTGGCCCTTCTTTCTCTAGCTTAGCACTTGTCCCACAGTGGCTGCGCTTGACTGTCTCACCAGCTCTGGCATCAAGGGCCACAGTGACACAGGGCAGCCCCGTCCACTCCCAGGTGCCGCCTGTTTTAGGATCTTGTGTCATCCTAGATCTGTTCCCTCATATCTGAATATTTCCCCTTCTAGATGAAACGCGCCATATAGAAAACGTTTTGCCTGTGCCTTGGTGATACTGTAAGAAAGAACTTTGGAACTCCACCAAAGTGGAACAGGTGCCTCGGAGCTTCTTGCACGAGAAAAGCCTGAGATGATCCAGATGATGAGTCAGTTGTTTTGAGAGGCAGATGGCAAATCAGACTTGGAGGAGTTTGCCTGTCATAGGAAGGGGATTGAGGGAGCAAGCTTGCTGCAGCATGATATAATTGTGTATTTTATTTAAGTGTAAAAGTTACAAGTTACAAGTAGGTTACAGCGATCCCAGGATTCCAAGATGGCAACAGCGGATGTGAACTGAGCGTGGAACCCTCCTGAGCACAAAGAAGGAAAGTGACTTCCTGCTTTCCTTTTATGTCGCTAGAGACCAGGGAGGGTGAGCACATCCACATGGTTCTGGACACTGGCACCATCCCGGCCTTCAGCTTATTTCAAGAAGCAGTTCTTTTTTTTTAAATTTTTTTTTTCATTTTACAAACCAACCACAGTTCCCCCTCCCTCCCCTCCTTCTAATCCTCCCCCTTCTCTCCCTCCCATCCCTCCTCCTTCCACCCCCCCCCCTCACCTCCCCGCCCCTGCTCATAGCTTCTTGGGTAGAGAGTGGGACTTTTTGTCTACTTCCCCTTCTTGGTGCTGGGGGGATTTTGTCTGGTCAAACAGCAATTTTTTTTATTAATTTTTTTTCTTTTTTTTCAGAGTATCTGAAGTAATTTATTGATATTGGTTAAGATCCATTATATACAGGTAGAAACAATCAAAATTGTACAAAGAACCATAAGAATATAGATATTGTTTTATAGACAAAACAACTGGAAAATAGTTTAAACAGACAATATGTAATTATGAAAAAAGGAGAACACAAATTGTTCTAACAGACAGATTACAGGGTTTTCAAAAGTCTGCTGTGCAGATCTTTTTTTTATTAATTTTTTTATTTTCATTTTGCAATACAATTCACAGAAATCCACAAAGATACCCCCACAACAGACTGCTGGCAATGGTCGAGATACAGCCCAAACTGACCTACTCTGGTGATGGGATGGCCAAACACCCTAATTGTCGTGCTAGAAACCCCATCCAACTACTGAGGGGTCTGGATGCAGAGATCCATGGCTAGGCCCTGGGTGGATCTCTGGAAGTCCAATTAGCGAGAATGAGGAGGGTTTATATGAGCGAGAATTGTTGAAACCAAGGTTGGATAAAGCACAGGGACAAATAGCCAAATGAATGGAAACACATGAACTATGAACCAATGGCTGAGGGGTCACCAACTGGATCAGGCCCTCTGAATGGGTGAGACAGTTGATTGGCTTGATCTGTTTGGGAGGCATCCAGGCAGTGGGACCAGGTCCTGTGCTCATTGCATGAGTTGACTGTTTGAAACCTGGGTCCTATGCAGGATGACTTGGCTCGGCCTGGGAGGAGGGGACTGGACCTGCCTGGACTGAGTCTACCAGGTTGATCTCAGTCCGTGGGGGGAGGCTTTGCCCTGGAGGAGGTGGGAATGGGGGGTGGGCTGGGGGGAAGGTGAGGGGGGCGGGAGGGGGGAGAACAAGGGAATCCGTGGCTGATATGTAGAACTGAATTATTAATTTTTTTTTAATTTTACATACCAACCACAATTTCCCCTCCCTCCTCTCCTCCCATTTCCTCCCCCCATCTCCTTTCTACACGCCCCCATCCACTCCTCAGAAAGGGTAGGGCCTCCCATGGGAATCAACAAAGCACAACATATCAAGTTGAGGCAGGACCAAGCCTCCTCCCACCTCGCCTCCACATCAAGGCTGAGCGAGGTATCCCACCATAGGGAATGGGCTCCAAAAAGCCAGTTCATGGGCTAGGGATAAACCCTGGTCCCACTGTCAGGGGCCCCACAAACAGACAAAGCCATGCAACTGTCACCCACATTCAGAGGCCTAGTTCAGTCCCCTGCAGGTTCCCCAGCCATCAGTCCAGAGTCCATGAGTTCTCGCCTGCTCGGATCAGCTGTCTCTGTGGGTTTCCCCATCATGATCTTGACCCCACTCTGCTCCCACTGCCCCCACTCATGCTTATACAATCCCTCCTCCCTCTCTTTGACTGAACTCTAGATGCTCAGCCCCCTGCCTAGCTGTGGATCTCTGCATCTGAAGAAGCGGTTCTTGATGGTGGGTTTTGAGGTCATCACTGTGATTGTGAGAAAGAGCTATACTGAGTCTCTTCCACATGCCTCCTTACAAAGGATGGGCTGGTATGACCCCAGGATCTATATATTATCAAGACTCACGGTTATGACTCAGGCAGGTTATATGTTTAAGTGTTTTAAAGCATCATATTTAATTAAAGTATAATTTTGATATTGTTTGAATGAGAAGCACTTGGTATACAAAAGACATGGCTCTTGTCATGAAAATCTGTCTGAAGAAGCAAAAACTTTGAAAAAATGATCTGGTAGATTTTTTACAAAAGAAATAGTTATTTTTATTTCTCGTATATGTTTTGTGTGCATGTGCACTGTGTGGATATCTGGTGCCTGAGGAGGCCAGAAGAGGGTGTCAGATCCCCTGGAGCTAGAGTTACAGACGAGTGTGACCTCTATGTGGGTGCTGAGAACTTAATTTGGATTCTTTCCAAGAGCAGCTAGTACTCGTAACTGCTCAGCCACATTTCCACCTCCTGGGAGATATTTTTGATTCAGAGAAACGTAACTGACAGTTTCTCTCAAAAATATAAGACACCTTCCCCATCTCGAAAATTGTCACTCGGTATCGACCTGTCACTAGAGAGTGGAGCGTCTGGCGGAAGCCTGAGTGACTTCCACCGAGTGAGCAGAGAGCCACCCTGGGAAAGCTCACTCCTGCTCATGAAGCACACAGACACCTCTGTACATATTCACATGAGTACACATACACACTGTCAGCTCAGGGCCCAGCGAAGGCCCACCAATGGGGCTGACAGGAGCTGCTGGAACCTTTAGGGAGTGGGACCTGGGAATAGAGAGAAGGATCCACAGTTATGAGTGCCTACTGCTCTTCCAGAGGACTTGAGTTCAGGTCCCATCACCCATAGTTGAGTGACTCATAACTGCCTGTAACTTTAGCTCCAGAGGGATCTGATGTCCTTGGCTTCCAAAGGCCCCTGCACTCATGAGCACATATCCACCCCCCCAAGCAAACCAATAATCAAAATAAAACAAATCTTAAAAAAGGAGTGGGACCTGATGGAAGGAAGTAATATTGAGGGACATGCCAACCCCATTTCTCTCTTTCTGTCTTCTAGCTGCCCTGATGCAAATGACTTGCTCCATGACATACTCCCTGCCGTGATATCCTGCTGTGCTGGGGCCTAAAAACAATGGAGCCAGCCAACCCTACGCTGGACCCTCCAATGGTGAACTAAAATAAATCATTTAAAGTCGTTTGTCTCAGTACTTTTGTCAATGCTGACCAGCACACATGCTGATGTGTATGTTCGTGGAAATATATGCACACACACGTCCTCACTTATGCTTATCAGAACCTGATGTCTAGCACTGAAATTCATTATAATCTCAAGTGGTCCACAGAGGTACTACTTACTCTCTACCTGTCCATGCCATTCATATCTGCCCAGCTCTTAAGTGAAGTCTCTTGCACTATGCCTAAACACACTTCACCTCAGGGAGTCACCAACAGGGTTTCACTACACATTATTAATACAGTTTTCCACCATCACTCCCAAAAGTTACCTGCTCATGAAGGAAGAAATCGTTATTTCCCCAGGGCCTGGCTGACCTCTGGACACTGTCACCACCACACTGATCTACTGCCAAGAATGCTCAGCTATGTGTTTGCAGGCCTGACATCTGGATCCTTCCTACACAGTTTAGAGATCCACCCCTTCCTCACTTCGCTCCAGGAACCCAGCCCTTTGTGCCTGTGTACATGACGTAATGCCTCCTGACTGGGGCAAGCTGAGACCTCGGTCTGGACATGGCCTACCTGCCCTCTGAGGCACCTTGGCTCTGAGAACTCTCTTTGCTTCCAGGATCCACATTCTTGGAAGATTGCCCTTCCCTCCATTGCCAGGACTACCCAGTGTCCCTGCCCACCACACCCAACACCTGCCCTAATCACCTACCCCTAGACACTTCCCATATGATTCTGTAAGAGAGGTGGAGGCTGTGGGAGTCATGCCACGAGACTGAGTGATTTTGTGCCATGGGAATGGCCACACTATGGGTATGGCCATATCCAAGAATGTAGGGACACTTCTAGCCAGTTCCATGACAACTTTAGCCAGAGACCCAGTTTCACCTGAATAAAAGCCGTAACTGGAGTACAGAGCTGCCAGGGTGTTGAGCGTGGACAGCTTTGGGGAAGGTGCCCGGGAGAGAAGAAACTCAACTTTCCTCTGGAGATAGGTCTCCTGGCTTTGTCATCATGTCCTGCGAAGGGAGAAAGACCCAAACTGAGGGCCTGCCCAGACTTCCCTCTCTGCCTTCCCTTTTTGATCCTGCCTCCAGTATCTGAGATTGCCTGTTGTTTCCTCTGGCTAAACCAATATGGCTACTCTCTTTTGTCTGGCAAGGCCAGAGCCAAGGAGGTTTGGAAATACAGCACATTTACTAGAGCAGAAGTTGTTGACAGATCACTTATGCCTGCCATCTCCGTCTGTACACATGAGTAACTTGTCCGAACTCGTTAAGTTCCCTGGATGCCAGCAGAGACCAGATTTTCTCTCCTACCTCTCATCGCCTCTGCTGCCTCCGGCAAGTCTCCTGTCACTGTGGGAAAGCTGCTTTCAGAATCTCTTTGGGAGAGAACTTTATTTGCTGAGGAAATGTTTGAGAGCAAAGCTGCGTCTACCCTCTGACCCTCTCCTCTTAGGGTTCAAGGTCTGATGGTCCAAGGATTCCTGAACAAGAAGTTTGGAAGGGTCATTGAGAGGAACTGAGGAGACAGTGGAAGCTGTTAATGACCATAGGATACCAGCACTTAGGCCTCAAACTTTCCAAAGCTCTCTGAAAGTACTTCCACAGACCCAGGAAATGGTTCGTGAGCTCACAAAGGGCTATCCAATGTTCACAGTATCTGCAGTATCCACAGGCATCAGGGAGAAGCAAATTAACATAGAAGTGAACATTACTGCACACTCACTGGGATGACAGTGTTGAATAGTATGAACAGACCACAGAGAGTGTTGATAAGAATGTGGGGTCCCTGGAGCTCCTGTTCCTTGCTGGAGGGAAGGTGAGCTGTGACCATCACCTTTGAAAACTCGAGCGCTAAGTGTCTTTTATCACTGTGCAACTCTATCCTGAGACATTTATTTGAGAAAAATGAAAAGGTATGTCTGTGAAAAGATGACACATAGTGGTTCCTGACAGATTTACTCACAATAGTTCTAACCTGGACATAGCCTTATTGCTCAACAGTAGGAAAATGGATAAAGGGTTATGGCACACTAATCCTGCCTTATTCATAGTTTTCTTTTTAGGTACCTGCTTCAAATATAGCTAGAAAATACTAAATAGAAAATTCTGGAAGCATGTAGTTCATAACTGTTAAAGTGTCCATCATTCTGAGAAGTGTGATAGAATTTTATGTCGGCCCACTGGGGATGTGAATCATCCTTCTGTCCAGCATACTATATGTTGCCAGGGTTGACCTTGTCTGCTGAAAACGCCATGCTGTGTATTAGGCACATAGAAGCATCCTAGTTATGAGAGCCACTGTGTGGCTTCACAGCACTATGTCAAGCAACTCGAATTTTGCCTTAGTATTCTGAGTAAGCACAGAAAGGCAGTAACCCTTATAATAACTGCTGTGGGCATTTTTGCTGTGCCTGGTTGGTGCCCCAACATGGTTACAAGTGTGTGTTGACATAGCCCAAGAAGTTTGAAGTTTGAAGAGCACGAGCAAGTCAGCTATAGCTGAATGGGTATAGAAAACAGGTCCCTTCACAGCTTGGATCATCAGGAAGGCCACCTGGAGGAAAGGTGTTTACAATGAGTTTAGAAGATCAGTGGGAGTCAGTAGGAAATGAGGCGTGGGCAGGTCCCCCAGATGGAAGAGCAGAGCCTCTTCCACAGAGGACAGTGAGAGGAGAAGGAATCCTGGGCTCCGGGGTGGCCAGAGAATTAGAGAAAAATTAAAGAGCCATTTCCCAGGCCGTCAAGAGCTCTTCAAACCCCGAAGCTCCCCTGGTCTTCAGAAAAATCAGGAAGTGGCTCTCAGCTGGGTGAGCGACAGTCCAGTATTGTGGTTTTACAAATGGCTTCCTTCTGGAATCAACCATGAGAAGTACCTCCTTTTTCAGTAATGTCTTTTATCAATGTGAGGGAGGGAATTATAAGGCAGTTCTAAGGGTGGCCTTAGCCCCGCTCAGTTTCCCTAGCCTTTTTCTCCTGCTCCCAGGAAAAACGGAATAGCATGCTGGGAGACAACATCTTGAGATTGGGAGGGATAGTCAGAACAGCCTGGGTTTTATTCCCCCTTCAAGAAGTGCACCCTTCAGAGTGTTAGCCCAGGGGACCATGTGGTCTTGGGACATGAAAACCTGGTGGTCTGCTCTCTGGGGTCCCACACTTAGAGCTCAAATGAATCTCAGTCCACAGAGACCTCATCCACCTGAAAGTTTCCTGATCCTTGGGTGACAAACTCACCATGGACCCTGGACTGTCCATCCATGAACTATTCTCTTGCTTTGTGTGACCTGCTGAGTCTGCACCATGTCAGCTCTGGTTGATAGAGGAAATATAGAAAGACAGAGGAGGCCTAAAGGGGAAGGGATAGGACTCCCCCTTGATTTTCTGCCCCGCTAGGGCTGGCTCCATCACCTGCAAATAACTGGTGCTTGGCTTAAGTGCTTAGGACATAGTCCTGTTATGCATGGATAATTCCAGGTGTGCTGGGATTTTTTATTGTTAAGAAAGGGATAATGGAGGCTGGACAAATACCTCTTGCTCATTTGTCTGTGAATGTCCTAACATCCAAGATGCCACATATTCTGTGCTGGGGTTGGCAAAAACCCTGGAGTGGACAGGGCATCTAATTCACATCAATATTTATTTCATGAATGGTATTTTCTTCCTCACATTCCATGTCTTTTACTCCATCGTATCAGGTGAATTTGTGGTGGACTTGTGACCCACATTCTTTCTAGCTTGAGTTTCTGGAGGGGTTCCTCCTACGGAGGAGACCGGAAGAAGTGATGGTGGACAGGAAGAGAGCAACAACTGTCCCTGCCTCACTGAGAAGGGGCTTGAGGTGCAGAAAACAGGTCTTGTCGCTGTTAAAGATATGAGATATGGGATTTGCCCTCAGGACAGCCCAGGGCAGTTCAGCTCTACCTCTCACATGCCAGTGATCAGCACAAGACTATTTAGGGCACACAACCTCTTTGAGTCATACAGAGGCTTGCCACCCCAATGTGTTTGTACCTCCTTAAATGTTGTATCCTAGGGATCGGTTCACTCTTATTCTGACCCTGACAGTTACTGTTACTAGCACCTCAATCACTCCCCAAACATTTCTCAGTTTGGAAAAAAAAAATAACGTAGCATCCTTACTCAGAGAGCAATGTTGATTTGACAACTCTAGAGATACCAACCCCAGGAACCTGTATCCTGGGATGGAGGAAAATGGCCATGCCTCACTCTGGAGAGAGCTGTGAGGACTGCACTGTTCTGATGCCTGTGGAGTCTGTATTGTGAGGAGGCCACGTCATGATGCTGCTGAGACCCTCCACCATTTCCTGGGAGCCAGTATGGACCTTCTGAACTCTCTTGTAATCACAAGGTAGTAGGTGAACCCTAGTTAAAAAATACCCCATGGCAGAAAGATCCCGTGCCAAGCTGGTGCTCTGGGTGCTGAGTCTAGAATCGCTCTGAATGGATCTCCACTGGAACAGCCTGGAAGGATGCTGGGCTTCTTGGCCAGGGCCTGGCTAAGGGGCCTGAGCACCTTCCCATCAGGACATAGATCTATGTTGTTCCTGGTTGTGTCCTAAGGAAATGTTCTGAAGCAATGAGAGCTATTTGTATTAGCTTTTGGTTTCCTTTTCAAGTCATATGCTTGTGGTCCATAAAATGGTTCTTTTGCTTTCCTAACTGTTTGGCACAGAGGTTCTACACTGTCACTCAAATCCTAAGGACTTAATTAGATATTAAAAGAGGCATGAGGAAGGAGGGTGTCCCCTGGTAGGGTAGCTTCCTAAGGGGACAAATGTGGGCAGGGGAAAGAGGGGCATTTAGGCCTACCAGGCAGGGGCTTGGAATGAGGCTTCAAACCTAGCATTAGGTATCCACGAGTCGGAGTGTAGGCACCAGGTTCCAGGCTGCTTTGTCTCAACACTCATCTCTTCCTCTCTCCCACATTCCCTGGATGCTGGCCCAGGAACAGTCTTGCTTTTTGGTTAAATCTCAGCTGATTCCA